CAGTCCCTCTCGCATTTGCAATTAAATAATAAATTAAGAATGATTACAAATCCACATTGATTTCCAGCATGATGTTGCCTTCGACTGCCAAACTGAATATTTATGACCAAATCTGTGCATGCACTACAGGAGGAGTTATGACTAGGTATGCAAGTTATTTGCTGATTCAGCAGTTTTGCACCTCCAGGTAAGACCGTAATGGTATTCACATGCAGGGAAGCCATGATTTATAGGCTTAGAACAAAACCCATGTCAAAGCACGGGGAACCTGGGCACATTATAATAAGTGTGTGATTTATTGTTGTGGCTTGCCGTGAGCATTAATGGGACATTATAACAGTGACTGGTCTTTATTAAGACATGATAGGTATGTCCAAGGGGTTAACTGCAGCTAGTGGGATGCCAATAATGGTATTGATTAGTAAGTCTTGGATTGATGGGGGCATTGGGGTACCCTCGTGGTTAAAGCCTTCGTTCGTCTCGCCGAAGATTCCCCACATGGGTACAATGCGTGAAGCCCATTTTTTGTGTCCCCCGCCGTGATATTCCTGGAATATTGCTAAAAGCGGCAGAAAGACTAAACCCCATTCACTCACTTTAGGGTTCAGATTGTGATGAGGGGCGGTGGGGTAGTCTAGAGGTTAAAGCGTTGGTTCGTAACGCCGAAGACCCGGGTTTGAATCCCCACATGGGTACAATGAGTGAAGCCCATTTCTGGTGTCCCCATTGTGATATTGCTGGAATATTGCTAAAAGCGGCGTAAAACCAAACTCAGTCAGTCAGTCAGTCAATCAGTCAGATTGTGATGATGTTTGAAACATGTCCATATGCAGTGTATGAAATTAGGATAAAAAACCAGGGCTTTTTACACTGGAAAATTTGTAATGATTTACTCTTTTTGTCATAATTACGTTTAGATATATTAAAATATATTTGGGGGAATTTTGAATTTTGGGTGACAGTAGGTCCATACTACCTTTGCTAGTTATACGAGTTGACGTCACAGATCTAGTGGTCATTGATTTGTTGATTTTGTTGACTGTGTGACATTATATGTTGAGGGTAGGGATTATTGTTTACGGCATTCCAATCATAGAATATCTTTATAATTACAAACCTCAACTATATGGTGTGAGTATCATAGAGTGCTGCTTTAAATAACATTCAAAACTTATCAATGGTACCACAGACATTAGGTAGATCTCGTAAGTTTCATTCACGTTAGTCCGAACTTAATTTTTTTTGACTGAAACCCTGTGAAGATCCGGATTAGAATTGGTCTTCAGCAACCCATGCTTGTCATAAGAATCCACTAAGGGGAACAGGTTGACACAGTTATCATATCCCAATTGCATAGATTGATGCTCATGCTGTTGATCACTGGATTGTCTGGTCCAGACTCGATTATTTACAGACCGCTGTCATATAGCTGGAATATTGCGTAAAACTAAACACACTCACTCACTTGCGGACATAACAGTCATGACTGATGTAGATGCCATTGTCTGTAGCGTCCTGAATCAGCGGAATCAGTCATATGTTCGATAGGGATGTTTATGATGATCCTGTTGAGGAGATTGACCTGCACATCCTGTTATTAACCTTTTCAAGATGCACTATTCCCATTTAAGGAACAGTGAGTTGTTGCCTGCTTGGGACGAATGGTTGGATCAATTCTGCACGTTGAGTAATATTCTTGGAAAGGATATTGATTGTGGTTGTTGGATTGCGTCCATTATAAGAAACCATATTCTCTCCCTACCTCAAAGTCTAGAATAAATATTTATTGAGGCCCTGATGTACATATATTGATTTGTTTGAAGTCAAGATTTCAAACCTCGTCATGGTGCGTAAGTGTTCATGTTTTTGTTCAAAACTGAATTCATTGGCAGGCTTGACATTTGGGAAAGAAGTAATGGGGTTCTATAGATTCTTGGAAGAATTAACCCAATATGTTTTCACTGAAATGCACAATCTTGCCTGGTCATGTTGGCACATCTGCAGTCACTGGGGAAGTGTTGGGGGAAGGTGTATGGAAGTGGGACTTATTTGTCCGCTTAAGGACCTTGTGTTGACAGAGTTCTCGAGACGATAATAAACACTGCGGGTCATGAATTGAATGCAGAATTGTTTGAACAGATGATTAGGACATTTTCTTTACATTTATTCTGGCGGATCAGATGCAGGCATCATCATTATTGAGGGATGTTATTCTTATCTTTTGGGGTTTTTTACCAGTAATTTTGTCCTGGTTTAGATGAGATTGCTCTTGCATTTTTTTAATTGTAGATTGGTAATGTAATTGTATGTTGTTTTATGCAGGTTCTTGGTTTACATTAATGTGTTAGTTTAAATAGGTTCTTGAGTTCTGGTGTGTTGGTTCACACAGGTTCATGCATAGTGGGGCATTGGATTATACAGGTTCTTGCTTTAAATAGAGGTGGTTTACACAGTGCAGAGGTCCTGGCTTATACAGGTTTTTGAGTACTCACAAGATGGTTTTCTTTATACAGGTTCTGGAATAGTGGTGTTTTGCTTTACACAGGTTCTACAGTACTGGTGTATTACTTTACACAGGTTCTGGAGGACTAGTGTTTTGCTTTACACAGGTTCTGGAATACTGGTGTTTTGCTTTACACAGGTTCTGCAGTACTGGTGTTTTGCTTTACACAGGTTCTGGAGTACTGGTGTATTACTTTACACAGGTTCTGGAGGACTAGTGTTTTGCTTTACACAGGTTCTGGAATACTGGTGTTTTGCTTTACACAGGTTCTGCAGTACTGGTGTTTTGCTTTATACAGGTTCTGCAGTACTGGTGTTTTGCTTTACACAGGTTCTGCAGTACTGGTGTTTTGCTTTATACAGGTTCTGGAATACTGGTGTTTTGCTTTACACAGGTTCTGGAGTACTGGTGTTTTGCTTTACACAGGTTCTGGAGTACTGGTGTTTTGCTTTACACAGGTTCTGGAGTACTGGTGTTTTGCTTTACACAGGTTCTGCAGTACTGGTGTTTTGCTTTACACAGGTTCTGGAGTACTGGTGTTTTGCTTTACACAGGTTCTGGAGTACTGGTGTTTTGCTTTACACAGGTTCTGCAGTACTGGTGTTTTGCTTTACACAGGTTCTGCAGTACTGGTGTTTTGCTTTACACAGGTTCTGGAGTATTGGTGTTTTGCTGCTTTACACAGGTTCTGCAGTACTGGTGTTTTGCTTTACACAGGTTCTGGAGTACTGGTGTTTTGCTTTACACAGGTTCTGGAGTACTGGTGCAGTAGTTTAACCTACACTGACAGTGACGCATGATCAAAATGCTATATGCACAAACATGTCCAGAGTCAGCTCTGAGCTCATAGAAAGGAATCATGTCATATCTTGAATATCTCATTGTCCTTGTCTTTCAGTATAACATGTCAAGAAAAGAATGGATTCTTATCTGCTTTTTGTCTCATGAAAACTTGCACAATCAACTAAGGATATTTATAAAAGTGGAGGCATGTCATGTATCAGGTTTATCATTTGTCGGACAGCTTAAGAGTCAATTTGTTGCTACTTCGAGATAACTCCTTTTTTATTGTGTCTACGACCCCACTCACTAGCTGATAGAGGCTCAATCAGACCTCGACCCCCAGCAGAGGGACGTCACCTTGATAACTGACAGATCAAGCCGTGTACAAACTATAGGGGAGAGTTATCAGTCATACTACAGGTTGTTTTTACAGCTTTGTTTGTGTGTAGGGACGACTACATGTTTTCTACATGTATGCTCTTGAAATCTATGAATACATCAGGTTTCAATTACACTGATCAGTAACACACACAGATGGTAACAATATTTTCAAAGTTAAATGAAAAAAAGTACATGTGTTCTTTAGCTGATAAAGTGTCACCAAACTGTTGTTTGTCTTTGAAAGAGTTAATATTGATCCCCTTTGAAAATCGGATTGTTAATTTTCTTAGGAGACTGAAAAAGCGTAGAATTTGTCATGCGTTTGTGTGTAAGGCATGCTGTTTTCAGAAATGTGTTAATGATGTGAACTTAGAAAATGTCATGCTTAGACTAAAAAATAATGCAAGAAAAAACGCTATTTGGTATACTTGAAGCTAGTAAAATGATATCTGAATAGATATTTTATTCACATTAACATTATTTTGCAAATTTTATTTTGAATTTTCAATAATTAAAACACAATACCTTTTTCGGACTCAGTATTGTGCCAACCTCAATGTTTGTGCATATTCATATTCATATTTTTTAAGCATACGATGATACCTTCAGGAGCGTAAATTCTATATTTTATGGACTTTGCTCAGATGTCATCAATCTTTGGAAAAGTGCTGAGAAAAAAAACAATAAGTGATTTTCCCTGTTAAGGCCAGATCAATTTTATTTCATGTTTTAGGGATTTTTGTCCTCAGAAAACCTAAAGGCAGGAGGGACTAAAAATTAAAAATAAATATATACTAAAAGTATTTTACTTTGGACAATTTAAGAAGTGTATATGGGGCAAATCACAATTTAATAAAAACCTTTTCTTGTAAATTTTTTACCAATAAAACATTATGATTTTTTTTTTTGCGCGGGCAAAATTAACTCTAATTTTCTTATTCTTGAAAAAATACGACCGTTGGATCCATAAAACAAGAAATAAAATTGGCCTGGCCTAAGTTACAATATTTTGTGCTATTCGGTTAAAGACTGAAATATTTACTAATATAGCTTTACTAATAAAACACCAAGGAACGTTTTTCATGTTTGCTCAAATGGAACTGACAAATATGGCATAACAATTTCAAATACCAGTACATTAGGGAAGCACTAAACAGTGCGATCAATAGGGCACTGGAGCATGCATTCACTGTCCAAACATGCAGCCCAAACATAAAGGGTTTTGTTGGTGCAAGCAATCAACACTTGAGAGACATGACAAGCTAATACTTCTATCTGCATGCAGTTATCTAGGTTACAAACACGATAACACAAGGAGCGCCTTTCTTCAAACACACACAGACCAGATTACCCCGATTTGAAAAAGATGGGTATTAACTTGTTGTACCTTATCTGAGTCCGACACTTATTGCATGTACTGTCTTCGGTCAGGATCTGGTGTCTGTCATCGATTCTATCGACGCGTTTATAGGTCAGACTTTCAACCATAGTACTGTAATGGTCTGGATGACAATGGGATGTAGAACTGGATTATATACGATATGGATGCATTTATGGGAATCTTCAGAAGTTGGTGAAGGATGTTGAAGAGCTAGTTTGCTGTCATGACGTATAAGAAATAACGACTGTGGGATTTCACAGTGTTGTGGATGGTAGCAGCGTTAAGGTTCGGATAAAACAGTTTTGAAATGGATCTTTAGAAGATGCTGTGATAAGACGAACAATGCTTACTTGGAGAGCGTGGAACCTCTTTCCTCCTGATAAGGTAAGGTGTTGTTGACAATAGGGGTGTTGGATGGCTTGTAGCCATAGCAGACTTTTGGGTTACGTAAGTACCCAAAGTAATAATCATGATTATTTTTACAATCAGTCAGAGAAGGATGTGTATTTTCTTATGATTCATTGATGAACCTGATTGGTGTTAAGATCATATTTCCAGTGTTATTTATTCATGGTAACTATACTGTCTTCATGTCAGGAAATCTATTCAGAACTCGTCATTGCATGCAATATGTGTAGCCACCACTACGGTCCGTTTGAGTCAGAAACGGACCGATGAATTGCAAATTTTATCATTGTACAAAATTGCCACATAAATATAAATAGTACACATGTTTATCATTTACTAATACCCAACAGCTTTCTTATATTTGAACATTTTCCGGACTCCACCAAAAAAGTTCTTTAAGAAACTATCATTAAAATTTTGACAGTTTACTATTTGTTACGAGGGAGGAGTGCAGAGAAAGGGACAGCCAGGTGTGTGAGAAAAGAAGGAGACGGCACAGCACAGGCTAATGAATCAATAACTTGGTGGGCACTTGTGCACGTGCTTCTCTAACACCTGGCTGTCCCTTTCTCTGCACTCTCTGTACAATGATAAAATTTGCAATTCATCGGTCCGTTTCTGACTCAAACGGACTGTACATATCTGTATTGGGCAGAAAAAAGTTCATTACTCGCAGGAAAGTAAGAATTGTAGTGTGATCACGTGACCTACGATACTGATACTGCTCCCTCCATGGCAATCTCTAGGTAAAATATTGTATCTTAAAACAGGATGGACTTGTGCTGTATTGTATGAACTGAAACAATTTTGGGCACACAAAAAATCTTAGAAAAAATATTCATTATGAATGCAGTTATTTTTCTCAGCATTTCTGAATAATATGCATCCACATTGAACAAACTATCAGGTGAAGTTTAGTTTCAATGCTCATCAGTGTTCAGAATATGCACAAAAGTCAAAAGGTCTTTGTAATAATATTGATTTATTGATAATATTGATTTGAGTTAATGATTGAGGGTTCTCCGTAACTGTAAAGCATAATTATTGGCATATTAGTAGTTAATTACACCTACAAGCGTCTATTAGGAAGTATTTAAGCGTGAATTTTCTGCCAATGCTATACTGAAATCAATGTTGAGTTGATGTTTTAACAACTGGTTGAGGACATGTGTCTTACACATGAGCTGGAATACAAGTCATCCAGTCTGTTTTACACACACACTGATTTTGTACAATATATACATTGATTTATATATCTGTTGGGAATACAGTTCTTTGTCTCCACAGACCGTCTAGGTTGACTCAGTAGGTTTGCATCGTACTGTAGAAGTGATAAGTTTTGGTGATTCAGCATGACAGAAATTATGTTCGGTTCACCATCAAGCATCTAAGGAATCAGATATAGATGAATGATTTTCTTTTAATGATTTTTAAATGTGATTATTGACCTTTTTTCCTTTGCCTGAGTGCATTTGTACTTTTTGACACTCAGAGTGAGTGAGTGAGTATGGTTTTACACCGCTTTTTAGCAATATTCCAGCAATATCACGGCGGGGGACACCAGAAATGGGTTTCACAGACACTCAGAGACCACTAGGAACTTTATTTATGCTTGCACACTTTTTAGTCTTAAAAATGGTGTTGAGACGTAGGGTTGTCACTGCACATTTGAAATATTTACAGGGCATTGTTTATCGGCTCTGATGCTTCCATGGTTCCATTATTGTTTGGATGCATTAAGAATGTTGAGAGTGAATTGTTCATGTCTTCTTAGCTGATTACTGAATAGACAGGGGAGATCAGGTATGGCCACTGACAGCATTGGAACTACAGATGGTAATTAGGAATACTGAATTATTAAAGACCCTGGTTCCATCAGGAAGTGCAGACTGATAGACGGGTTTGATAGGCAGCCTGGGCTTGTTGTAGTGATCGGTTGTTAACTTGTTAAAGAAATGCTTGATTAAGCCTCATCTTTTTCTTGATGGGGGGTGGCCCAGTTATCTAATGCCACAGTTTGTTTTCGTGTACAGTGTTATGTCCCTTTGTATGACAGGATCCTGTGATGGAGGGTTTGCATCTTTGTTTTGTTCTTATTTGTGTTCCAAAGACTCTATTTAGGTTTTCGCTAGTGTGATAAATGTGCAAGATAATAATGCTGGCATATTGTTATATATCATGGGACCCTCTATTATCGCGGTAGTTAATGTTGTCGCCATCGGGATTATGAACGGCTACTGACATTTTGCATTTTATGTATATTTTCAGTTGACTTATGTTTAATCTTTATTTCTGTCACAAATAATGTGACACATATTCGCAACTCGTTTAATACCATTGCGGCAATTCCGATTGTCTCGTTTGACCCGGAAATTGAAGCAACTCTCTATTATCGCGGTATTGCTATTTTTTTACTATGGCACGCGGTACAAGCAGATGACACTGTGAAACGTTTACTAAGACAAGTAACGAATCTAAATAGTTTGATCATTAAAAAATATTTAGGAATTTCATTCACATTAGTAATATCATCATGTTTTTAACCCAAACATCAGAAACTTCTATTCATTTTGGATACAAGGTAACAATAACGTTACAAAATGTTGTTTTTCCGCCTTAAAACGTACCATATAAGCTGCTGCTGTGTGTAGAGTGAAATTGCATAATACGTCACTTCCTGTTATATTTTTAGCATGGAAAATATGCAAATGACCTTATAGTTGTCGCAGGATTACTCTTGACGAAGTAAGTTTTGATTCATGCTAGATGTAATGGCAGTAGGGTTCATACTAGTTTCAAAATGTTCCAGAACTTACTGAAAAGATGAATGCTTTAATATTTCTACGATTAGACATGACATTCCAATGAAATACTAGTAAATGACTTTTTCAAGAGCAATGAATATATTTTACGTAATTTGCATATGTAACCAGCCAATGCGGGGCGTGGTGTTTCTGCTTTCCCGATGTTTTCACGTGCCGCGATAATAGAGAGCCCGCAATAATAGAGTCCCATTATAACAGTGTTCAAAAACATTGTTAAACCCTCCCTCCTTCACTGCCTTTCTAGCTCACTCACTCACTCACTCACTCACTGTTTGTAGCCTATAAGTACTTGAAAGATTCTCACTGTGTCCATAATTACAAGTGTGTGCCCCTTTGAATTGCACCTGCAGATAAACACACTGATTTAGTTACGAAAGCAGTCTTGCACTTTGGCCTATCAAACATAGACTGGGTGAACACTAACCTGGCAGTTGTAGGAGACCGTAATAGGAGTCTGAGTCATGTGTAAGCATTAACACATTTGGGGATCAGTAGTGTGGCTCAGTGGTTCATGTATTTGCTCCAAGACCATAGGGGCGGTGGGGTAGCCTAGTTGGTTAAAGCGTTGGCTCGTCACGCCAAAGACCCGGGTTCGAATCCCCACATGGGTACATTGTGTGAAGCCCATTTCTGGTGTCCCCCACCGTGATATTGCTGGAATATTGCTAAAAGCGGCGTAAAACCAAACTCAGTCAGTCAGTCAGTCCAAGACCATATGCCCAGGTTTGATTCCATCTTGTATGTACACAATTTTACCAGATTTTGAGGAGGTACTTGGGTTTCTGAGGACTCGTTGATGTCTGAATCCAATAAAGTTTGAGGGTTATTAAAGGACCCTTGACATTAATTTCTATCTCTGACCATGTTCAGTGCCTCCTGCTGCAACATGGCTAATTGGTAATTATAATCTAAGGTTTACTCATTGCCAAGGATACACAGAGATGCTGCAGTTGTTACGAAGTCCAGACATGGCTAGTATATCACTAGGGCACCAGATTTTTAAAAATGGAGTATGCTCCAACCCATTAGTGTAAGAATGTATAATTTTGCCTGAACTCACATGTGAAATGAACAGAAAAAAACTGTTCATGAAAAATAATCATAAAAAATAATGTAAAGGAGCCCAGAGGCATTTTCTTCGTGTTCAGTGGAAATCTAGACTTGCATGAGCTTTCTTGGATACTTTTGTTTCAGGGTCTGTATGACAGACTAAGGGTTCCCCGAAATTAGCTTAATCATGAGTAAGTGAGTGAGTATGGTTTTACCTGCGCATATGGTTTAGCAATATTCCAGCAATATCAGCGGGGGGCACCAGAAATGGGCTTCACACATTGCACCCATGTTGGGAATCGAACCCGGTCTTTCAGCATGTCGAGCGGACGCTTTAACCATTAGGCTACCCCACCACCCAGATTAATCATGAGGTCACCAATATCTTGAAAAAGGGTATAAAAATGTACACCGAAGCATTGCTCCGTGCAAGAAACAAGACATTGTTATCCATAAAGTTGTAAAGTTATTATTAGACTAAGGCTTAGTCTCTGAATATATATAATTTGGATAGTAACAAACAAGCCCATTTATTATGTTCAGTTGGAAATCTAACTTGCTTTATTTAGGGCTTTAGCACTGCAGAGAGGGCTAGGCAGTAGGGGAAATAATGTTGTTCAGGGACTGTGAGACAGACTAAGTTATTATCAAAAAGTGTACTTGATCTTAGCATATATGTTGTTGGCAATTGTCTTCCAAGGCATGTTGAAGTATGGAGCACAGTATCAAAGGGAGTTCACTTTCCAATCTATTTCATGTGAAGCCACGTCATGCTGGCCACTGCTGTAATTTTGCTGAAATCAGCATAAAAGCGCAGTCACTTTTAATGTCATTTCTACCCACATTGAATCGGCTTTCAAAGGAACAATATTGATATTTCCTGTCCAAGGTTAATTATATTTTATGAACAGCCATGAAGCTGATTTGTGAGTTACAGTTAAACATGTGTATGGTATAGTACTTCCCACCTCTCCGTTACACGCATCAAGGTAGGAATCCATATCAGGTGTACTTCGTCCTTACTTTATTGATTCATACAGGCTGCGATAATGAAAATCAGCTTTTGATGTTTTCAGTTCACACACTAACATTTAGAAACAT